TTTATTATCTACCTTATTAAATATTGTGTTCAAGTTTGTGTTCAAATATTGGTATTTTGCTTGGCTGTATGTATTGTATAATAGTAGATCTATATAATTTTCAGCCATCATTTGAAATAGGGTTAGGAATACGTACATTCATAGTGTTTCGAACCCTATTCAATGCTGCAGTTATACCACAAATATTTGGATACATAAGTCAATTTAAAATTAACTAATCTTGACAAAAATATTATCTGCTCTAATTTATAGATATATGAATATATATATTTATAGTGCTATCCAGATAGCACTAAATTCCATTCTTCTATTACTACTTACTTACTTACTATCACTTTAGGTGTGTTCTTGTAGTCGATTCTTGTCCTAAGACACTAAGTAAGTTAATATGACACACTGTTATTCTTGTTATATTTTTCTAGTATTAGATTGATTATTTAACATTTTATGACGTCACACGTCACAGTCATGTCGTCGTCAGTTTACGTGCTACGTTAGTGAAGCTATGATTCGAATTAAGGAAAGTAATCTCGTTTATGTTTAAAATTGTAATGATTATACGATTGAGTGGTTATAGTTAAGTAATTTGGTAGTTTTGTTTGGAAAGTTCTCCGGAGGTGTTAAAAATTGGGAATTCTGTAGATTTTGATGTGCTGTTCTCGATTTCCACTTTGTAACGTTCGTAGGCACGTGTGCTGCTCGCGTCTTCATCTTGGAAAACAGTTTTTTGGCTGGCTTGCGTAGACCAAGCGGCGCGTTTTTTGGCGGTCCACGTGGTGTGAAAATTTATTTATTCTCTAAATGGTCATTGAAATTTACTATAAGGTACCATTGCGTTTACAAAAAAGAAACTACACATCATTGTAGAGAAAATTATGCCTAGTTTATATTTGTGGTAACACTTTTTCATGTAAAATGTACAGGAATTAAAGATTTTTTGTAAAAATCTTATTGGACGCTATATTTCTAAGATGGCGGCAGCACACGGACGATGTCGCAAATTATAAAATGGAAATCGAAAAGAGCACATCGTAAACCACATATTTGTCTATTTTCAACTTTTAAGAGACTACCAGACGACCACATATTTCCAGCCAAATGATCTGAAAATTAATTTTTTGTCTGATACTTATTAAAATTGTTTACTGACACCTTGCTTTAATTATTATTTTGTTTATTAGTTTATTCATACTTTGCATGAGTGCGACTTGATTAGTACTGATTATATATCAATCAAAGATTTTTAAATGGCCTAACCGAGCAAGTATGGTGAGTATATAAAAACAATATAAGGCCTACTTCTCTTAGTCAACATAAGCATATATGTATTAGTTTTTGTTTATATGTTACCTTTCGATACACACTGTGCCGAGCTCACCACACTCATCCGGCTAGAACCATAAGATTCAGTCGTATTTTCAAATATTTCAATATAAATGTAATACGAACTATATATAGTTTACATTTATAGCTAAGATTTTGTATAAGTTTATCTAGGCTGGTTTTCAAGGAAGACTGATAAGTGAATAGGAATGAAATGTGGGAAATGACCAAGAAAACGGCTGTGTTTCGATTTGTTGTAAAATTCTTGTTACCAAATACTATTAAGTTTTCTATTTAAGTATATTGTAACATTTCCTTGTGTGACGAGTGGTCTTAAGAATTGTGGAAATTATATATTATCCGCCTTTTGTGTTTATTGATTGTCGTTGTTATTTCACCACGAACCTATCTGCTACACCAGTTTCATTAACATACATGCGAAATGTTTACACAACAAATCCTAATGAATAAACTTGAATTGTAAAATTCGAAATTTGTTTATTCATATTTACAATGTAATTTTAAAGCTTAATACAAGATTTTCAATGAACTATTAATGACTGCTATTGACTAAACAGTTTATGTTTATTAGTCTATTAAGTCTCATCAAATGATTTATTTATTGATACGCATATATTTGTATAGGTATAGACTTACCATTTGGTCTCTGAAAAGATGTTTTATTGTTACAATTTTCTTATTAAATCTTTACGCAAGTTGAAGAAGATTGTTCTCTAAAAACATTCATTTCAATAGTAACACTTTTTAAACATTTTTCAAAGAATAATCTAAACTTTTTATTCTGATAGAAATAGGAAAGGAATGTGGCAGTTTTGTGTGGAACTAACTATCGACAAATTGCTGGCTAGCATCTAATTATGCACCAGCGCCGCGGAGTTGCAAATAATAACCCTATGCTACCGAAGCCATAGCAAATATTGAGTCGGTATTTGTTCTACACATAATTGTCATAGGTTTTTCTATCAAAAACATGAGGATATCATCAAAAAAGTAATGTGTAATTACAATTAGGGCCGCACCCACTGCTGGCATGACACTGCATACTTATATTGTGCTGCGTGGTATCCTGTGGCATGCCGTGGCATTCTGCTGAAAGCCCAGCCATTCTGCCATGGCTGCTGTACAAGTTACAACCTTATTCCAACCAGCGTAGTAACCATTATTGCTCGACACAAAGTGATATAAAACCTATGTTTCAAGGTCTCTTCCAGCCCTCGTCCTGACACATTACAATATTCTCCATAATGCTACATTCTGCACAAATGAGGACTGGGAGTTTTTCCCATGAGGTGTTTAAACTTGTTAAGTGGAACGTGACTAGACCGAAGTTTGTGAGCTATTATAATAGATTTACTATTAATATTACAGTCGGAAAACCAGGTGATACGTAGGGGCTCACTTTGCATTGTCCTGTACAAAAGTCGTTATCGCGAGATGCTATGGCATGCTACGTCAAATTGAACAACGCGTAGTGATTAATGGTCATACTCTCTCCTTGTGAGAAGACCTTGCCCAGCAGTGGGCTCTTATAGGCTGTTGATGTGATGCTACATGTAGATGTTTACTACAATCTACTTGTATACTTACCATTAACAATAAACTATTGTTTCAAACGTTATCCTCTTGAACTCTAGTACTGCCGTGAGAGCCTGAGCTTACGTAGCGATGCTTGCTAAAATTACCTAATTAAAGTATGTATTACCTTTTATTTTATTATTCTCTTGGTGCTGGTAGATATTTTTTATAACTTTTTGTGTTTTCAATATTGTGATAAAGTAAAATAACGAGGGACGTTTGTAATAATATTGTTTGAGTGTATGCTTATTATTAATTAACAAACATATACAATTATTTATAACTATACTGTTGTATAGTAAGTAAAGATACTTATCGAAGAGGTTCAAGCATACCTGAATGAGATGCTTATTTAAAAATCTGTGTTGGAAATGGAAAGTGCGCATTATTTTTATATTTTCTCAGTGAAAATATTATGTATTAAATCGGTGATGGGTGATTATAAGTTGCACAATGGATTGAATAAGTTTTTGTGTTGTCCTTTTCTATTTGTGGACTCGATTTTGTGTTTCCGCTTTATTGTGTTGTCCGCTCTTGTAGATTATGCTTGTTAAGAAATTGTTACAAACAAATTTGTAAGTTTATGACTATTTCGGGATCTGCGAAACTGGTATTTGAACTTCCACTCGCAACCAATTTTCTGAAACAGACCAAAGAGACGTTAGTAACTCAGCTTGTTCAGTGACAGCCGACAGAACCGACGATAATCTGTTCTCCAAAGAATTTTAAATAGGATATATAAAATCAGTGTTTGTTTGTTCGATGCGGGCATTAAATCAAAATATCCTATAAACCCAGACTGAAAATCAAGTTTATAAGGATCTGGGTTCGTGATAGGATAATAGTTGTGATCTAGTTACGACTACCGAGTACTATACATGATATGTAGAGGATGATCTTCCAATCTAAGGAGTCGATTGAATGGTACTCTGCGTTAGAGGTACAATACTTAATAGGATGCACTCAGTTATCCAATTGTGTACAGCTAGATATAAATAGCTATCCTCGGTTGCACATTGTACGTGGCCTACTTCTTGCAAATCTTCTCTGTGGAATGATATGCATGTGTCTCGGATGACTGTATTTTATTTTAGCTAATGGCGTGTGTATATAATTTCCCTACCGGTATATTTGATACTTCCAATAAACATTTAGGAAGTCATTGCAATGTTTCGCTTATTTTGGTGTTACTAAATGTTAACTATGAAAAATAAGGGTTGAAATGGAAATTCAAAACCTAACTTGTTTCTTAAATGCTTGTAGTTAAATAGTGAAGTGCTGGCGAGCGTAGGTAGTCACTGGGTGTAAGAAATGTCGACTTAGTACAGTTCACATATCAATTATTACATTATCTACACACAAAAAATGTATTACTTTAAATGTATTACTCGAGCTGAACGAGAAAATTCTAACTGGTAATACATTTTTTACTAGTAATACATGCCAACTACATAAAATGCGAACCGCCCGCAACTATTTGCCAACAAATATTGGTATCTATATACCAATGTAGATACCAATATTTAGTTAAAGTTAAACTAAAAATATTAAGTTAAACTTCCTATTTTCAAAATGTCTACTTTCCGAAATTACAACATTTGTATGACGTAATGTGTAATAATTATTTGCGACAGGTTCACATTTTATGAAGTAAAACAAAGCTGAAACGAAATTCCTTAACAATATGCATTCAAATTGATAAGTAACAACAAAGTAGTAAAGAAATGGAGTGGTCACTTGCTATCGATAAGGTCAAACGACGTCAATTGTAACGGCGACATGCTTAATTAAGTGCAGCTTTTGCGCCCAATGTACCAGTCGCAATCTTGCAAATTGACCCTCTCTTTGTTTACTACATATTCATCTTATAACGTATTACATAAGGATGATGGCAGAACGCTGACATATCGTAAACGTGTTAGTAATTTCATAGCCAATTCCTCTTAGTACACTAACGAATAGTTAAGAAACAAAATACTCTTTCGCATTCATTACTCATCATAATAATAAAATAGTTGTAATGGGGACTAGGAGACCCTTATAAAAATCAGTTATGTATGAAGTTTGCCAATATATTTCAGCCCTCAGCCATCAATTCGAATTCTCTCCTACCGGAGGAGATTGCGAAGGAGATGAAGACGGAAGATCAAATCCTGGCGCAGCTGCGTGCGACGCAGAACATGGGCCCGCCGCAGTCGCAGCCGTTCATGAATGAGCTGCAGGGCCCCGCCCCGCCAGCCGCAAGCGCCGAAGACTGCTTCACTCCAAACGTCAGCGCGACTCCCAACCTGGAAGAATTACACAAGCTCATTCAGAAAGATACCTTGACGGGTCAGGCCCCAGTCAACAATGTCCCCGAACCTGAGATCATTGAGCCACAGGTTAATATCTTACAAATTATTATTTACAAATCTTGTAAACTGGAATATATTTTTCTATAATTACCTTTTTGCAGTGATCAATAATTAAATCATTGTCATATTTCCAGCCTCCAGTGGCGAAGCCCGTGAAACTGGAACACAGTGTGAGCGAGTCGAGCGTCATCATCGTCAAGCCGCTGTCTAACAAGAACGGTGCTGAGCTGAAACAGCAGAAACAGGCTAAAGAAACCGATAAGACCACAAAGAATAAGGAGAACAATAACACAAAGAATAAGAATAAGAAATCTAAGGAAGACAAGAAAGATGAACTTGATAATAAGGTGAAGGAGGAGGAAGCTGTGAAGGTCGAGGTAAGACCGCATTCTTATCTTATTTGTATGTTTCTGAAGTGCACTATCCGTGTTGTGATCAGTTTCGTGTGTTTAGCGACATCTGATCCGGCCATGTCGAACAATCGTTACACCTTTAATAACACGTCAATTTGTTATCCGGTTCTAAAATCTTTACTTTGTTTACAATATGCCTGAGTGAGCCGTCGTGAACAGTCGAACAGTTAATTTTCAACGATAAATGCCAGAAAGCATCAAAAATATTTTAAACAATATCAAAGTAATATCCTTTAATAGACATTAGAATGTTTTGAATTATTGAGCAATTAATGTAAAAGTAATCAATATATTCTAGAAATAGAGTACTCGTTATAAACGTATCAAAGTTAACACTACTGAATAATTTCATGTTGAACCTTGCGAAGGGATATGGTGACCCTCCCATAACGGCTTACGTGTTTCAAAGTTATTTTAAGAATGCACAGAAATATACAACAAATTGTAAATCTAAAAAAGTCACTCACATGAATAAAAATAAACATCACATACATATAGTGATGCCGAACAATATGTTCTAGTTACGATTCAATTTATAGTCACTAACAATGATTACACATATAAATTCAATATACTCACATTGAAGTAGCTGGTACGCATTAGCAAGCCGGGTTCCTCGATGAATCTGTCGAACAAATTGATGAGCGACCTAAGGTCAGCTAGCGGACGCATCGAGAGCCTTGCAATATACAGCCAATTTAGACTCGAAAGTGAATCAGTCAGTCTTAGGACGCCTTGCGAAGGACCGTCTTTAAGGACCAATGCGTGAAACTGTAAGCGTCGCTTTTTCAATTACTCCATTTAATTTCTGGCCAAACGATTATATCAATATGAATGGTTCCCCAGATATTATTTTAAATTAACATTCTTTTAGTATAATAAAATATTTTCTTTCAGTATAATTATGCATCATTTTAAATTACCTAATAATATTGTGACGTTGGAGAATGATGTGACATTATTGTGCAATCGTGTCGTCCTGTCGTTCGTACACTTTATGTGCATAATGCTTAAAGGCTTTAACGAAACATTTTTAAGTGATTAACACGAAATGTTTTAACAGAAAAGATCACAGGAACCATCGCCGCCCAAGAACAAGAAAGAAGAAAAGACCAATAAGAAAGACATTGAAAAGGAGAAGAAGGTAAATTAATTTTATATTTAAAACTGGTTTTTTGCTTCACCGAGCAATTAATCATAGTAAAGCAATGTTACCACATTAACTTTGCTTGAAATACATAATGCTACATTATTCGACACAGCTCTTGTAACTTATTGGTCTGTTGTTAAAATATTATCGCCATGCATTATGCAATATAGCTAATTTTGTCTTGTATTACCAGTATGTTGATTATAGATTTATTTGTTCAATCGTATGAAGTCAGTGGCAGCCGCTTGGCTTTGTATTTTGAGTACAGCTTGATGTTTCTCACTGATACTTGTGTTTGATGTTTGTTGATTATGTTTCTTTCGTTGTGTCGTATAGGAGTGGATCAAAGAAGGCTTTACTATTGTGAAGGGAGCGGAAAAGAGCTCAAATAAGGATAATAAGAAGAAGGCGGAAGAAGCGCGCGCTGCTGAAGAGGCTGAGCGTAAGAGGTGAGTAGAAACGTCTTTTGCGCGAACCTAGCACAGTACGATATCCAGTACTTACCGTACCTTTGGACTATAACTGTACACTTACTAGGTAGTAGGAGCAAAGAAACCCACGTAAATGCTGTGCTTTCTATTCAAATGATTTGTGCTTTGAAGTAATTGTGAGCTTTAGCCAATACACATGTGAGACCATGCAAGTAGAGCTGGCATAACTAGAAAGACTCGTAGTGTAAATAATTTTACTGGTGTAATCGTACAAAGGAGTATGTAACTTATGTCTATACGTCAAGGTTGTTAAAATGCGAGTTTCTTGTTACCTATATGTGGTGACCGTTTTAACAAATAAAGTGGTTTTATGTAGATGTTTGTGTTTTGACAGGAAAGAGGAAGAGAAATTAGCTTCTGAGGAAGAAAAGAAGAGGAAGCAGTTGGAAACGGCTAAGAAGCAGCAGGTGCGTTATTTTTATAATAAATCTTTATTTTATATTCCTGATCGTTCTTTTAGTACAGAATCCACCTTTACATAATTGTTACTTCACTTTTAGTCCGTTTATTGCATATCTATACTAAATTGACGGTAGTAAAAGTGTAACTTAGAAATAGAAAAACCTTTACTGTGTAATGCTGTGCCAACTATACTGGTTCGCTGACTGGCAACTTTAGTTTATAATGAGCAGCTATTTATTATCAGCCTGTGCTGAAAAACTCCATTAATCGCAAAGAGAGTAGCTTTTGGGGTAACTGACTGAATAAAACAGTATGCCCCTGCCGACCCCTTATTTAAATTGGCTGCCACCGAATATGTGTATATTCGGTGGCAGCCACGACATGTTTCTGTAATTGAAATAAAAAAAGCACTATAGGCATTTGTGTCATACATACGTTTGTTTTGAATTCACAGAAATTTGATGAAAACTTATTCTATAAACTGTACACTGACACAACACAAATTATTGTTACATTATATAGATTGTCTTTTGATTATTTTAGTGTAGTTAAACTTAACGGCTGCTATTTTAAACTAGCATAGGCGTAGTGTTTTTGTTTAGCATAGTAAATCACTTCCACGTAGTCGCTATGTGTCACTAAGTATAAACAAAATGGAGTCATTTATAGTCTACCTTAATAATATAATAATCGCCCCAATTTGTTTATGACTTAGTATACGAACGTTGTGTTTTATGGCGGTATGATTACAGGAACAGCAAGCGCAGCAACAACAGCGTCAGGCGTCTGAGTCGGTTATAAAGAAGGCACCGTGGTCCTCGGTCACTAGCCAAACCATGCAAGCCACAAACAAGGACGGACTCACTCTCGCAGAGATACAGCGACTCGAACGCGAGAAGAAACTGGAACAGATGAAGGAACAACAGCAAATGATGCAGATCATTGCTCAACAACAAGCCGCCGCTCTTGCCCGGGAACAGGTCGGATTTCCACTTTCGCTTGGAGGTTGAGCTTTGTACAGAAGATTAGATATTAAGTTTTACAATTTTTCTAGTAATTAAAATTAAAATTTTCATTTAATCGGTTTTTTTCCCCGTAGCTAAGTAACTCTTAGTGATAATGCTTACCGCACGATTTGTTAACCAACTGTACAGTATATGTTAAAATATATGTACACTGCAACGTTTAAATGCGATTACCTCCTTGAATATCATGCTTAACCTATAGTTATATTTCATCTTATCGTTGCATAAACGAATTTCGGAGGAAATGGCGTTTGAAACTTCATTTTTTATAATAACTGCAACTTGTCTATTATATAGATAAATAACAAACTGTTTTGTATAAACATTCAGAGACACGTTATATGTTTTTCACTTTACTTACTAACAATGGTGCCTGTGGTATTAAATCGTATGTTGGGTGATTGGGTATTTGTTTTTAATGCAACATATACTTGTGTTAATAGACGGTGTAATATGACAGGCGATACATTTATTGTGTTGGGTTGGCTTCTTTATTAATTAACTCTATAGACCTAGTATGTGTTTCCTTTTACTAACTAACACGGTGTGTATTATGTAACCCTCGCTGTCTTCGTGTGCTGCTTACTGCTTATATATTGATGTTCAGTGTAGCTTATTCTGTGTCTTTTTTCTATAGGAAATGCAGGCCGGACTAGGTTGGGCCAAGAAAAAGGGCAACAACAACACACAAGGCCCAAGTTTAACAGAAATTCAGGTCAGTTTTATTATATTTAATATTTGTTTACTCATTATTTTTTATTGATCTTATTGCTTTGAAATGCTATAGATGTTTATATCGATCAATATAAGTATTTTATGATTTTTACGAAGAATTCGACGTTGAAAATTGGAGGGCGCCGGGCACGACGATAGCGTTGATTTGCGTTGTCCAGTAAAGTTCATTGTCTCTGTCAAACCTCTATGAAAGACAGGCAGGAGGTTATGTATGGATGTAGTAATATTGATTTTGTGTGGTGGAAATAGAAGCTGACCCAATATTGACAGACTAGAATTTTCTTGGCGGATTTCAGGTGGTGTTACAGATAGGACTGATGGTATAAATAGGTGGTTACTAAGTTGTTTGTTAATGTAGGCGGAGACTCGCAAACAAGCTATGGCTGCAGCCGTGGCAGCGGCCGCTGCTGCCAAGGTCGTCGAAGAATCCGAGGCCGCCGCCGCAGCACCACCACAAACTAACCACGCCCCATGGGCCAACACGCATAATGGAGGTAAGTTGCGTTTTTTACATCTAATCCTTAACCCTTAGGGTATAACAGATGTGACGGTATTGTTTAGATTTTCAAGGAGCCGCGGAGGCCTTAACGAGTTGCCGGGGCTTCGGTTCGAAGTGCAGGAGTAGGAACGGGGTGGTTGTTAGTCAGTAGGAGTCTGACACTTCCACTCGCCTCACCCGAGCGAGAGAAGTCATTGGATGATTTCCCCCCTTTAAAATAAAAGTGTTTGTATTTTCAATTACGCATGTAACTGGCTGAAAATGTATTACGGAATATAGAAGATCTTAGTAATTTTACCGTATTTACCGTCGAGTACCGTCATTATAGACACAATTATAGAACAATAGGTTGTGGTCACTGGTGACCGCTTGGTGTTTGACAGTTTACTTAGTATAATTCACTTCAGTTAAATCACTCGGTAAAATTTCAGTTATTTATTTCGTCACATGAGTGTTGTTTCGACACTAGTTTTTTTACATTACTAACGTAAAGTAATATTAAGTAGTACGAAGTGCATAAAATTCAAGTCATTCGACATATACACTTGATTTTGTAACTTATCAAAAGCAGTCTTAATAACAATTGGTATTATGTTTTTCAGTGGGTGGATTCTGGGACACCCAGCCTAACTCAGGCAAGGACAAAGGCAATGATGCTCCGAAGCCGTCCGAGTCCACCGGAGCCAGGTCTAAGAAGAAACCGACCCTGCCCATACCATTGAAAAAGGACATGGCTCCTGCCATCGAGTTCGAGGCTTGGTGCACTAACGTGCTCTCTTCATGGAGCTCAAAAATTGATGGTAAGTAGTCTAAGTTAAGAATTTATTTCAATTAATCCCTAGAGACGTCAAAAACAATCTGACCATCTGTTTGTCCGCCTGTAATGAAGTTAGGTGCACAATCATATCTAGTATTCATATACGGTAGGCGCATGGCGGTTGGGGCAACTGGCTAAGGTGCAACGTGTTGCGAGCTCGATTCCTGTACGGAAAAACTCTTTATATGATCCACAAATTGTTGTTCCTTGAAATTATATGATTGTTGACGCACCTACAACACGGGAGAAAATAAAAGGCAGAGCAACGTTAAAAAAAATGAAGAAGACGAACAGTATATCATAATATAACTGTGCGCTCCGCTGTTCCTCACTGAACGATGACAGAACACCTCAACTACTTGTAAATAATGTTTATCATATACGTACAGACAGAAAAAAGATGTCTTCAGTATAAAGTATGAATATGATATATTATGATCCGTCTGGGGATTTAGAAGACAAGTAAATAATGAGCATCTAAATATCCCACGTGAACGATGTCGTGAGTACAGAGTAAACACCAAATTACCAAAATAACGCCCCATAGCTTATATGGTACAAAACTACTGGTAAACTTTCCATTGTCTTTGTCCTGCGAATGAGCGGTGGTATAATGGCGGTTCATTAAAAGATTGGACATCAGATTAATATGTCAATGCGATCACACAAAATTCGTTCTAAATTACACTTTCGAGAATGTAACGTTAACTAGTTAGAGGTAAAAACTCATTGCAATTAAGAAAAAATACCTTTTATTACTCTGCTTTGCTTATAAATCGCGAATTTTCAACGCTGCTAAAATGCTTGTACAACTTTGAGAATCGTAAAAATGTCTTATAAGCGATAGAAAGTTTTGGACACGATGCCTAGCTATAGTTTGAATTTATGTGACTATCTGCTTGCGTTTGCTTTGTCTTTTTCTCAATTATGTTTCATAACTTGTGGAAATAAATTATTATGAAATGAGTGATGTCCTCTTCATACACATGTCTTTTATTCACTATAAAGCTAGGCAGAGGCGTACATATTAGATATAACACTTAGTCTTAACCATAAGTTTTATATAAGAGCGGGCGAGCCTATTGCGATAGTACTTTGAACTCCCATATTTTGCTGAGAATTTTCTAAAAACATACTTTGCTGATGTCAAAATCAAACTTACCCGCACTCACTAAGACTGCACGAAAGGCATTGTGACTGACTGGGCAACTGGCTGCTGCGCAATATGTGGTGGGTTCGATTCCCGCGGGTCTGGGTATGTGTGCATTTGTAAATGCAGCTACGATAGACGTTTTAAAAGAATCTAATGAGGCATTCTTTTAAATACAACATCAATGTAATTACTGTATATCTCGCAAGGTTTCTAAATATAAGTGAAAAATCTTCTAATTGTATTAGGTTTTGTCTAAAAGCTAGCTAGTAACAAGTATTTATTTGCACCACTGCTAAAGCAAATAAAGCATTGAAGTTGTTATCACGAAAACAAGACAATAATCATGAAATCAATAATTGAATACGAAACAAACTGCTGGGCTCTAAGGCTGTTAAATTTTTTAACATATATCACATCTTTTAATTCCGGATGAATTGCCGACCTTCCGAAAGTATTGCATACATGGCGCATTATTTCAAGCTCAGTGCTACCACTGAGTGTTTCTGAAAATCGATAAAACCCAATAGTACATTGCCCTTGCGAACACTCCTGAAGCAATCCATTTTTTTGTTGTTTTGTTCTTTGTTGCCCATCGAGAAACATCGAAAATAATTTAAATTATAAAAATGTGACGCGGCTAATGCTGAATGCATAATGTACGTGTTAGGGTGCACTCCTATCAATATCTGCGACTGTTATAAATTCGCTAGCCACAATTTCTAAGCAAGCAACAATAATAAATAACTTCTAAGCTGCTCAGTAGCGAATATCGAAAATAATTCCCAAAATACGGTATACTGTACACTCAAACATTTTGTTAAAGAACTAACATTGCAACAAACTATTAACCAAGTCTTTGTGTCTCCTATTTCAGTGCCAACATTTGTTGGCTTCCTGAAGGATATTGAGTCACCTTACGAGGTGAAAGATTACGTCAAATGCTACCTGGGCGAGTCGAAGGAATCCAACGATTTCGCTCGCCAGTTTCTGGAGAGAAGGTAATTACGGCAAAATTTAACTCTTTGGCATTACTAAATTATTACCTGAATGTTGATCATGTTTAAACATTGTATATTTGTATCCTGTAAGAATATTATCATTCTATTTTCTAACTCATTGATTTTTTTCAGGTCTAAACTTCTCCGCGTCGGAATGGTGACGCCATCTGATGATCTTTGCTCCCCTGCCATCGCGGTGAACCCGCGCACTACCTCCGGCTCTGATTACCAGGAGGTAAAGGGCAAAGGGAAGAAATCTAAGAAGAATAAGATGCTGAAGGTCGACGTGCGCATACTGGGATTCTCAGTGACTGCTGCTGAAGACCGCATCAATGTAGGCGACATCGACACCGTGTGAGGTATCGGCGCCTACCCTCTCGTGTTCACTCTTAACTCGCCTTGTGATAGCCCATCGGAGATATAAACACTTGTGTCGACACTTAATCTTAATACGTTCGATGCCCCCGGGTGACTCAGCGTCGGCACCGCCCGCTGGTATCCATCGGGCCTGCTCGCGAGGCTGCGTCACCCCATCGCACACTAACTCCCTCGAATCAATAATACAACGCGCTTTCTCTCTCAAGCAGTCGACACTGTACATATAGCTGGCGTTGACAATACAACGTGACACCGAGTATTTCTTGTATTTACGTCTTTTACAACTGCTACATGCAATTACATTTTTTTTTATAAAATGAATAATAATATAATTATAGTCATATAATTGAATAATATTTTTTCAATGGAATAGCCGATTTTATGGGCAGACTTATTTATTTACACCGTTTAATGCTTTTAAAAATTCGCCGTATTGTTCATAAGCAATCAATAAATCCACTATAGCTGTGGAATGTTTAGCGGTTTCTTTCTGGTTACCAATTTCGGTTTTGACTGATAAAGAAAACATTCCAAAGCTAAACTAGTTTTATTATTGTTATGAATGATACAGTTTTAATTTATTTACCTTGTAGTAATACTTTGTGGCATGTAAAGCTGTGTCGTCAGTGCCACCTAATATATTTTTCTAGGTTTAAGTATCGTAAGAATTTGTACATATGTATTATTGAATCGAGGCATATTACTGGCTGTCAATTTCATCTTCAATACTTTTCTAAGCTGTGTAAAATTTTAAACAAGGTTACCGATTTATTTTAATTATAGTAATAAAGTGCAAGCAACATGTTATTAAACATTCGCGTTACATACGGTATATCTATATAGTGCGGGGTTAATTAACTAACCATCTCGCAGGAGCGTGATACTAACATCATAGCAATGATTTCTACAACTTCTTCATTAGGTTTTTGGCAGATATTTGGACCGAAGAATCACAATGTAGTCTATATATAAATGCACTGAGTAATCCAGCTCACTACCTTGATATGCTGGCAGATCTGGACTATAAGAATATCTACGCAATTCTTGTACACGATTCCTGGTTAAAACCATGCTTTCCTCCTATTTCCTACTCCTTACTCGTTTTCCAATTGATAAGAAACCGCACTGGCTGTGCAAGCACCTATACGTATAACAAGTCGCGGAGAACCTAACGGGTATCCGGCTCGGCGTGCAGGAGGAGGAACGGGGCGGTTTTTAGTCAGTAAGAGTCTGACACTCTCTCCCGCCTCACCCAGTCGGGAGCAGACATTCGATGATTTTCCCCTTAAAAAAATTCGTCTACCAAAAACCCTACCTACCACCTCCATAGATAACAGAGGAGATTAGGGCATGATTAAGAGGAAAGCGGCGAATCGTGGCAAATACTGTTCGCAATGGCTGCTAATCCGCCTTTGCCGGAATACTCTTGTCTCTACTTTATAGTCTACTGTTCAATCGATTTGCCCCTTCTTACCTCAAATAAAGTATCAAGTTCCTTAATGACGCACATTCGAGATCACTGAGGTTGTCAGCGAATCTGAGATTGGAGATGGCCTAGCATTCCTCAAAATGTTACAGCAAGTTACTGTACAAGCTGTTACATTGTGGAGTGCATAGCTGGTATCGATAAGACAAGCTCAGTCTTTGGATGCATTTAAGGAGAGAGTTCAGAAGCACTATCTCTCTTCTTCGTTTTATTGTTAATAGGATGGCTTTTAGTAGCTTTTAGTACTAACTGGCCGTTCAATCTTGTTCACTCTGGACTTGAAGACACCCACGTTGTACTTTATAGAAAAACAGACTCCGCCAGGGAGTACCACTCCCTAGCGGTTTGCACTAGTAAACTTAAAGCGAAACGCTTGGTGCGAATTAATGGAATATCTACCAAATTGGCACCCCGCCGTTTGTCTGGTGGTAGTACTATGGTGAAATACCCCATAGAAGGAATTAAATTATATATCTCCCACTCACACTCACCGAAATATATCCGATAAAAGACCGAGAGACTTATGACTTTCCGCCTGTGCGCCGCGTTCCGCCTGTGTTTGAGGCTTTGAAGCCGAGCTCCTACAAGCAAATCATCATTGATGAGCCTCCTGGCGCGCCTCTCGATAGATTCAAGACTTTCCAACTGGCATTTAGCCAAGCCATCCATCCATATACGACTGAACTTATGCATGGTAAAGAGTGAGCAATTGTTCTGGTGTGAAGTACCGTCTCACCCCCGGCAGGACAATTTCCTACCACTCTACTTCTTCTCTGTAACGTCATTATCAAACTGCTTTGTTTCCTTTTATGTGATGTATAATTCATGGTATATTTAAGCGCAAGTTGTTATGTATGTATGTACGTATGTGTATGTATGTATGTAAGTGATATATATAATTATTGTTGAGTTCGGATTATTTATTTTTTTCGTAATACAGTAATCTGTCTACATATTTCTTTTACATTGTATCCATCCAAAAGGTGAAATCTATACACCATACTTACACATTGTATTCTCTTCAGGTCTGCTAGGGTACAACCTTTGATGCCAAAAACCTAATGAGGTCGCCCGACGCTGGGTCGTACGAGACGGTCCAGTTTGGGACAGTGTATCGCGAATGTTTAATTAACGGCGTAGTAATAAAATGTATCTGCCAGAGTAACCATTCGAGCCAGCTATTATGTTGACCATGGAAGCACACGTCAACTTGTCACTAAGCTAGTGCATAATAAACCACCGTAATATTGTGCCTTCAGTGTGTTCTGGCCATAGAATGAGTGAAGGAGTGTCATCTTTGAAGCGTTTATTTTACCATAATATTCTTATTTTCCGCATGTCGCAAAAATGTGTTATCTGTTATACAAACACGTTCTTAGTCAGTTGTGACTGCAATTGATGGTGCAATCACACGTGACAAGAAACGATAAATCTCAATCCAATGAATTATTATTATATGAACCAATCTATTAAGAGCAACAATAACGAAATAATCGTGTGTTGATCGAAACAGATCATAATTATTGTTATGAAGCATAATCATGCAAGTAAGGTGTTACACTCAAAAGTTAAATTATATTCAATTATATATTTGTGCTGATTCGCTTTGATTGACGTGCTTGTTTTTAAGTTCGCTTGGCCGAACCTAACGTTTCCGCATAGGTGTGATACATGGTAACGAAAATCAATACCTCAACTAATGTGACACTGATTTTATTACAATTGAAGCACTCAACAACGAATGCAACGTGCATTGTGAAAAATGTTTCGTTGTAGTAAAATTGCGGTGCTTCGTTTTTCGAGATGTTGATTTTTATTATCATGTGTCGCACCCCATTACCCATTTATCTTAGCAGTATTTGCTCAACGGTGTTACAAACTCCATTGCCCTGCTTCTCAGTGTAATCATGAAACAGATTCAAGTTGCTCAGTGCCACTCGTTAGTGAGGATCTTGCAATGTTCTAGTCAATTTCAACACTAATAAATAATGAATTTCGTGATTATTCGTAAATGAGATTCTGGTATAATTACAGCAGCTCTTGAAATTAGCTCGATGTTAATGATTTTTGTTGTATATCGGTAATTGATGTAGATTATTTGTGTGCATCAGAGTAGTGGGTGTATTTTCCAGATTTGCCTATATTTAGTGTTTTGGTTCCTTGTGTACCTCTCTTGAAAACTTGTGTACCTGCACCTGTTCACCAAGCAGCCATATTCTTCCTGATTTAAGGATGGCGAGTGTATATTTTTTTTAATCCTAATTGAACAGATTTAGGTACACAAACTTTAAAGAGAGGTACGTAAAGATACTCTGGCAATTCTGGGAAATACATCAGCCATTCTCACGCACGCAATTAATTGAGCAAATTTACTATCTTTAGTGAAATTATGTGCAATGGATTTTATCACAACTGCTTTAAACGAAATAATTATTGTGTAATATATTTGCGTTCACGTCGTGTGACTGTCTATTTTGCTCATTTTAAACATAGTGCCTGTATTTCGCATTAATAATTTATTTAATTGATGGTGTTCATTATTGTTTTAACATTCGAATAATGTTTTTAACAGGGAAACGATAATATCTTATAATATTATCAGTACCTCCTATTAATTTTGTTTCAGTAAAATGAATCGCAATTTTATCTGCATGCCTACATTAAATTATTTTAAGTTTTAATTTGCAATTATATTTGCCGCTGTCAAAAATGCTATCGGATATGTTTATTATTTACTTTGTCCTGGTTTGCCTTGTCATAGATATCCTGGTAAATTATCAGATCATTGTTGCATGCTTTGTAGTTACTTAGGAATCCTCAAGGTTAGCTAGTACAGACTGAATAAATAGTTGCAAAAACTGCAGCAGTTTGTAATATCTGTCTTAATATTATTTAGTAAAAATAATTTAACGGGTATACTGTATTAGCTGTCCGCTTTTACGCCAGAAAATTAACGCTCAGTAATTATTATATCTTATTTTAATTAACCTTCGTCAACCTCGTCTATAATTGTTAATTGTCGCCAGACCTTAGCACAAATTATAATCCATCCATCCATAACAGACTTCTATACATCTTTTCTTGTTATTGTTGGTGATGTTCTCAACGATACCCTTATCACGGTTCCATATATTTCGCTTGAGCAATTTCTTAAATTGACGTTGCAGTTGAGCACAAGTCGTATCCATTTTTCCATTGGATTTTATCTTTAATTCTACCTTGTTCTACAAGTTGTAAAGTCTCTAGTCTCTCTCTTGCCTCTTGAATATATATAACCTAATCAGCAGCAGTCTGTGACCACTGTTTCTAGATGTTCATCAACCTTTTCCCTGTAGTGTTCAGTATTGTACCTACTTGAATTACTTGAAACATGAAGCTCGAACCAATCGATGATTACTCTCCGTTGCTAAATTATTTAGTACAGTTACATCCTTAATTATTCCCATATTATCAGTTATTATATAGTCGATCTGGTTCTATTTGGATGATGCCATGTCCACTTGTGTTGTGGCTTTGCAAAGAAGGTATTCATTGCCAATAAGTTCGTAGCGTCTGTTTTCTTAAGACATGAGTATCTCCCCAAGCATTAGGAATTTTTGAAAGTATTTCGTCGGAGGTTAACACGTGAAGGATTTTTGAAATGATTTATTTTAATTTGTGTAGTAACATTTTCTTGCAATGTTCTGTACATATGACGACAATAGGTTTGTATACCTGATGGGGTAGTATAATGTTGTGTAAAGTTCTGCACCTACTAATATTAATAACTACTTCTTAAACGTCTAATTTGTGTATAGTTTGTTTGACAGAAATTGTTTATGTCCGATTTTTTATTTAGTTTAAAGTTCGAACTACATCATAAGGATTTTAATAGTATTTTATGTATATATTATAACCATTTTAAAATATTATTTAGTCGTTTTGTATAGACTTTGTTTGTTATCGAGCATATTTTGTAGTTAATGTATGAACTTGCGGATTTTTCTCTTTTTTAATTTTCTATTATCTATGCGATATTACCGAGTTCTGAGGGACTGTCAGCATGTATTTGGCTCCGTCACTAGTAGCATGGCGATCTCGGTGCGTCGTATTTGTGTAACAAGATAGCACGCATGTTATCCGATAAATTGGAGTATGTCGACGACGTGTTTTTATATAGTTAGGCAAAACTGTCATGACATTTACAGTGTTGTGCATGATGAAATATAAGTGTCGTATACACATATACAGAACGTCGGCAGTTCGTGTGACGATAGGGCTTCTAACCGGTTATATAAAGCCAGTCGTATTGTTTAGCTTATTGCCATTATCTTTGTAGACGTATAAGACAATACAAATTCGTCACATTAAACAGTAACATTGTGAGTTTTTGGGATTTCTTCGGGACGAAATTACGGGAGATTGATATACAGAGATCGGTTGTTATGAGGTTGAGTCGGAATGCCAGTTGTTTTTGTTTTCGTCCTTAAGTCCTGGCAAAAGCTCATTATGTGTTTTAATTATTCAGATTAATATTATAATGTATTTCAATCATTGGTGTATTTTATTGGATGGTTAGTAGTTTTCAAATATTTCTGTGTGTGTTTATCTCAATATGTACCAGATTAATAACATTATAATATTGCAATAATCGTCAAAACGTTTTTCCATAAGTGTAGTTTGGAAGACATTTGTCTTTATGATAATATGTACTTTATATATTGTGTTACTGGATATTGATGAAATAATTAATCTACACCCCAG